CTTAAGCCACCTTCACTTCATTTGACTTTGGAATTTTAAGTGTGTTCCAACATGTGCTATGGCCTCAAGGAGTTCCCAACATCCCATTTCAGCACCAACTTCCCAGACACCCTAAGCCGGTTTGAGTGTGTGTTTGTCTGGCTTTGAGTGTCCAGCCTTTATTTTAAACAGTTTTATGTCACTGCATGCATGCTGTGCAGGAAGCTTTCACCAGTTATTAAAAAAAAAAAAATCAACTTAATCATTAAAATCAAAACTTAGAATATTTCCAGTGCAGTTCCCGAGACTGCGGTTTGCCCTAGTAGACACATAAAGTACTGGCTGTAAGAGCTTCAGAGGGCCCTCGGTGGCATCCCAGGAGAGCACACCTAAACCACTCCCACCCTGGAGGAACACACATTTACATAAACAAAGAACTTTGAAACCCAAAGTTAATTCCAGATGAATGTCCAAAGCGGATCATATGTCACTAAGCATATGGACAACCCTCACCAGGCTGGAAAATCATCTCCTCCTTGCTCAGATCTCAGCCCAATCGCAGTCTTTCCCTGGAGGCCCTCACAGTAGCCATCCTTACCCAGAACCATCTTCCAAAGGTGGCTGGGGAGGGGAATAGCTCACCCTCTGACTCAAACCAGCAAGTATCAGAGCTGCAGCACCACACCTAACCACACACATCAGTATTTCTTAAACGTATTTCCCAGCATCGCTTTGTTGGGAAAGGCTGTTAGGTTTCACTCAGAAATAGGTTTTCTATCTTGGGGAGGGGTGAGAACACTGTAAGGGAACAAAACAAGGAAGAAACATTTTAAAAAGACCCCAGTGTGTATTTTACAAACAGCTGTCTTCATGGTTTCATTGTCCCTTCACTCACAAAGGTTGGTGGAGGCTCTTCAACAGACACTAACTGATGGGAATAAACTGCAGGAATCAAATTTTAAAACCACTGGAAAGTAAATCTTCATGAAACTTAGCATGAAAAAAAGAAATAGAGCATGGCCATGTGCCCTGTGAATTCAAATGAAGGTGGCTGCTTCTCAGGCCTCCGAACTAATCTAAACTCTATCTAAACAAATTAACCCATGGATCCGGTCTCCACCATGTAGCCAACCCTCCTGGTTGGGTTCCTTGTCTGTTTTCAGATGAGCCTTATTGAATATCATCTAGGTCCTGTTTTGTGAAGTGAACCTTTGTGAATGAAATTGTGTGTCTGATTCCATCCTTTCTTCCAAACGCTTCAGGTGCCCCCGAAACTTCAGTAATGATATGATAAACCCCTCATTACAGCATGAGAAAAAACATCCCCATTAATGATTTAATCTTAAACAATTCTTTCTTCAAAACAGTGTATTAGTTAAGTCTGAACATTTCCTGCTATGACTTCACATGAAAAAGAGTGAAGGGTATTGGGACACACTGCAATTAAAAATGGGAACTCAATCTGTCTATACCTCAATAAAGTTATAAGAGAGCCAGAAAGCAGAAGCATCATCTTACATTATCACAGTCATCAGGGTATGCCCAATACCTTGGTTAATAGCCAGAAACTGCAGCTAATGTAAAAACCGATTAATTAGTATTAAGCTTAAGAGACACATGGCAGAATTACTTATTTCATTAAGCAGATTAATCAAAGAATAAACACTGCATAACCGATGTTCAGAAGATAGAGATTTTGTCATCTTGGGTTTTTTTTGAAGTGGGTATTTCTGTTTTCCTATCCCTCCGGTTGTCTCAGAATGCTGTGTTTGTCAGGTGCCCCCACGCAGTCACCCGTTAATCATTCACCGAGGTAAAACTTCACTGACACAATTCGCCCCACTTGCTTCCCTATAAGGTTTCAACAGAGTGAGAGGACAAATATTTTGTCACTGTAGTCCTTCAAAATATTTTGAAAATCACTTTCCTGCATGGATTGTGTATGGGGAAAATAAGCTTATCTATTCCACTGTTAATGTTTGGAAAACGACTTAACATTAACAAAGAGGAAAACCAATTTACATTAAAAAAAAAAATCCATTCTACTTCACATCACAAATAGAATGAGAAAATGACTGTTTTTAAAGGGAAAAGAAATAATTTCCTATGTAACAGTTAAGTTCATTTGTGACCAGACTTGAACGAAGCAGCACTTCATGTGTTACGTGGAGTAACTTCTTTTCATGGTTTTCCTTGCCTCAGGACTATTCATCTCTAGAAACTTATGACCAGCTGCTGATAAATAGTCATTCACCAGGCGGATCAGAAAAACTGTTAGGTGACCTTTAGGAAAAGCACAGTCTATCTAACAAGGACCAGCACACGGACACCAAACGCAGTATCTTTTTTCTTCCCAAATTTAAACAAAACAGTTCATTTTCACAAGGAGGATGAAAAACAGCAATGACTGCAGAGCTGTGTCACTGCACAGAAGTGCCATCCTCCATGCAGGTACCACAGTGCCCAGGCGATGCACCTGGACACATGCAAGACCCCGTTAACAACTGCAGCTGTAATTTAGGCAGGGCCTAACAGGGCAGTTGAGATTGGACTTGTTACTGATAATGCATGTACACTTATCTTTAAAAATAATGCATCTTGTAATAAATACAACTTCAGCTACCAGCAGTATTATAAAACCAAAGCAAGCCTGGGAAAAAAAAAATAGGAACATAGTCATCAAGAGCTTTAATTACCTGTAGCTTTCCTGGGAGCACCTCAGGAGCTTTCCGTGCGCACATGCGTAATGCGCCTTTGCTCTATCTTCAAAAAGGAAGAACTCTGAAGAGAGATGACACTTTCCTCCGCAGAACACGTACCACTGTAACAGTGCTTCTCAAGTAAATGAAAGAAGCAATAGCTCTACAGAAGATAGGGCCCACTGCAGCGGAAGGGCAAAACCAGTTCTCGTGCAATTCTAGAAATGCAACAGGTTTCAAATTTCTACCAGCGCGCCTAACCACAACTTACAGAAAAATTTAATGTTTACAGTGTTGTGTAAGGCAATTCTGAGTGAAGCTGTTACTTAAGATGATAAATATTGAGTTATCTGCATGGCCTGACTTACCCCGGCCCCTTCTTGACTATTCCACGCAGAAGAGAGGATGTTCAGCCAGAACAGTCAGCAAGTTCTAACACATACAAATAGCTGTGTTATCACATTTTACGTCTAAAAAAGCCAGAGGCCAATACCTCTTTTGTGAGCTACATTCCCATTCATGCATATATGCTTTGGAAAGTGATTTCCTATTCATTTGTTCGTAAGAAATATCTTGTTTTCCCAGCAACTTTTATTAACTGTGGCCTCTGTAATCAAGCACCTTTCCCTGCGTCCCATTTTTTTCAGCAGTTCAAGCCCTAGGAGGCTTTGAAATGGTCTCACCCTGCATCGGATATTCTCACAGTCTTATTTTTTTCGTCAGTACAGAAGACCAGTAACACCTTACGTGCTACTAAGCTCACAGTGCTTCCAGGATTCAAGTGTTCAGAGCAACAGGTCTCTGTCCACCCCCAGCCGTGGGGCAGAATGGAAAGCAGCTACTGCACCAGGAGCTCACGCAGTAACTTCCCTGGCAGTGTTTTGATCCTGCCAACCATCCTGAGCACATGGACTGTTGCTGTTTCCTTCAGAGGGTCACCCATTGAGCTCCATATTCATTTCCTCCATGGCTTCCACCAGGCAGTGTGGATGCTCTCCATTACAGGCTTAGCAAGTCAGCTTAATAGCTAACTTTAACCAGTATTTCTGCTCTGTGGCTTGTTAAACAGCCATGGGACTAAGGGAGGGGCGTGCTTTAAAAGCACAAAGTTTATAGGGAGGTTCAGGCTGAGAAAAAAAATCATCTATAAGCAGCTTGTGCCCAGACTCACAACTGAACAGTAGTTTTGATTATTCTAGATACCTCATCTTGTTCTTCTTTCAAGAAGTGTTCATGAAATACCATCTTAAAACTTACCTTATCTACAACAAAGAAACTCAGCCTCCATAACCTGTCGTCCAAGCACTCCCTTGGTGCGTATCAGACTACGGAAAGAAGCCGTGCATTAAAACCTATGGGTTCATAAACTCTGAGCAGCTAGGTAAGCTGCGGAACCAGCCTCCTTGCCCTCCAGCCCAGATGCAAAAGGGGGTGAGTCAGCACCCAAAAAAACAAGGCAAGTCTTTCACCCAGCTGTTTTTAGCATTACCAATTCAACTTCCTCTGCAGAAACTACCAGTACCCAAAATACAACTGCACAACAGTGTAACAGCAAGTAAACATGCTCCAGCAGACCAGATACCTGCAGAGGAGAGGAGTCCTCTCAGAACTGGAGGCACAGTATAAATCACCACAGTGCAGTCAGCCAGAGAATATCCAGGGATTAACAGTGGCCTACTTTCCATAGGAATAGCACTCTTTTTTTCCCCCTTTTTCCTATTCCATAGAACAGCACTTCTTTCCTCAGCCAAAGCTAGTGTAGGGAGAACCTAGAGGAAGGTAGTATTAAGTGTACCATGTATCTCACAAAGCACGCTCTCTCTCTGAACAGCCCGGGTGCTTCAGATGTTCCTGCAATATCCTATGATGCTCAAAGGAAGACAACTGCTCTAGCTACAGAAGTGTGGGGTTTTTTGTGGCACTTCAGAGTACCATAAAAAAACCCACTGGTGGTATTAACGCTGAGTGGAAATCAGATGCTGCATACAAGACAGATGATCTTTGTTACAAAGAACCAGAGATGGTAAGTATCGCCTCTGGGTCACAGGTCCCAGCCAAAATTCACTTAGACACATTCCAGAGAGGAAGCAGTTTGAAGAATGAGGGTCAGATTCAGTCACTCCTACTGTTTTAGTTGATGAAGACATCTTTGCACTTCCCATGTAAAATAAGTTGTGGCAGGAGCTGTTAGCCATTCCCAAGTAGGGCTGCAGTTTAGCAACGGATGAAGACAGGCATGCACATAGGCTTCAGTTAGTATGATTTAGGATGCCTACTTGATTAGTCACACATGGAAAAAATACAGACCAAAAAGCCAAGTCATCTGTACACACTGGAATTTAAGTATTTATTTAAAAAGTAAACCTTTGGGCACATTGTAAAAATACGAAGGAGAATCCATTAGATTAAGCAGTCAGAAGCCAGCAATATTACAAGCTGTTTACATATCAACATTTACATTAATTTAAAAACAAGCAACATGTCACCAACAGGTAGAACCTACTTCAAAAGTTGAAAAAAATCATCAAGTTGGCTTTTGAAAGATACACGTTTACCACATGGGTGAACATGGGTTTAGTTACTCAGTTTAAATCCCCTCTTGCACTCAAATGTTGTCTTCAGATTATACAAGCGGATAGCTAGCAGCTGTTGCTATTCCACAGTGGTTCTTCCTGTCCTTGGCCATGTAGATATATCCTTTGTCACCCCACTTCTCACCCCAGCTGAAAACAGAAGGGATTTGTTTTCAGATTCACAGAAGACCTGCTTACATCTCGCCCCCAGTAAGTGTTGAAATTGAAAAACTGCTGCCTTCCACATTTGTGGAGAAAAACCAAGAGAGCCACAGCCAAACTGAAGTGTTTTCCAACAATTAAGTGTGTGTCAGAGAGGCACACCAAGTTCACAGAAAGAGAGGGTGCAGCCATCCTCTTTGCTAGGTGGAAACCTTGATGTGCAAACCTGGATTACAGGCGCCTGGAACTCAGACAGTGCTCCCAGCCAACCTGAAGGGAGGACCAAGACTGCACGCAGCATTTGAGGGTGGTGCCTCATTAACACTGAGAACATAAGGCAAGCTCATGTGATGTGCCCTTTGGCACTAATTTACTGTTTTCCCTCCAACCTAGGTGGTAACTCAAAGGGTAGCACTAGAACTTTACACTATTCCACTCAAGTGAGCAGTGCTCTGCTTCCAGAAAATACCCCGTACACCTCCACAACCTAGTTTGCTTCTGCTCCACCACTAACATCTACTAGCTTCCTAGGCTCTTCCAGTACTAACCTCCCTTGAATTAAGTGAAAAAAAAAAAGAAAAGCAGAAGAATGAGTTTACTGCTTTGGGCCTACTTTATCAGACCAGCAGCAGCATGAGTCAGGTTTAACCTCTGCCTATGATACAGTCCAAGAACAGTCTCCAGGTTTTGATTACTATTGTCTCCCCATCCCCACTACAAGTGGCAAACTATGGTCTCTTCTTCCTCTACCCCCAAAGGGGTAGAAGGCAGAGATCTTACCTGTTCTTAACAATCCAGTATTTCTTTCCATCCACATCTTCCCCCTGAAAGCCATAGCCTACAACCAGAACACCATGGTCCAGGTCTTCACTGCTGCAGTCTGGTTCATAATAGATACCTGCAGAGACAGAAGTTCACACGTGAACAAGCTCACCTTCAGGAAACCCTTCTCCCTCACCATACGTTCTGCCTATTTCATATGAAATGTTGCACAGCTTTGAGAGTCAGAAAGGAGCTTTAAGTGTATTGTGGCAGGAACTGAGAGACAAATACACACATATGCAAGAGAAGTACAAAAAGTGTGGAGAACCTGGACCAGAATTAAAAGGACCCCCGATTATGTCCTCTAGCACGGTAACACAGAAGCTTTGGTTTTTTTGAAGGTTAATAAATACTACATATTCAAAGAGTTCTCTGCATGCAAGTTGCTAACAAATCCCCACCTGACTGATAGAACTGGAATGAAGAGTGGCCTGCATCAATAGCAACAGACACCGGACCCACAGCTGCTACTGCTTTCATCAGAGCTCTTTCATGTCCTTGAGGGATGTCAACAAAGCCAGTGTCGTTAGCAGCATTGTACTCTGCCTTGTAGCGACAGTCTTCATCATCCTAAATAAAGCAAGCCCTAGTTATTACACAGTTCTCCACTTAACACAGATGAGCACAGGACTACCAGACATTCTGTGACTTTGCTGCCTTGAGAAGAGAAACTGAAGAGGATCCGATTGCTTTTTCTGTACCCCTGAAAAACTCAAAAGCAACTTTTGTGTTCTCCCTCTACTCTTCTCCTTCCAAACCACTGCTGGAGCTATGGATGGTGGTGCCCCAAAAGGAAAGCTTTACTGGGGTAAAAAACAGGACCATCACATCCTGGAACCCTGCCTCCTTTGGCAGGCAGGATAAACTACTTCTCAGGGAGGAAAGCAGCCCAGAGTGCACTAATGGGCAATGGAAGAGAGCCAAGTATTCATTAATTACAACGCAATCCAGAAACTGCTCATCGAGCAAGCACTTAAAATCCACAATTTTAGTCTGCCATGGTTCAAAAAGCTATGCAGTTGGAAGTTAGTCATCTGTATTTTATGACCTCACAGACAGTATTCATGTATTTTGTGCAGCTTCTTCACAATGAAGCCTGAACCACTGGTTCCAGTAGGATCTCTGGAAGAGCCAATATCAGGAAAAAGCGAGATTACAGGGATGCAGGTGAATAGGAACCCAAACCTAAAGGCTTCTAAGTTGCTCACAGTAACCGGCATCGCTATTGCCTATTCAGTCAACACAAAACAAGCTGCCAGGAAAGGTACTCTAAAGTGAGCAGAATTCCAGGTGGTAAGAATACCAAATCACAGGTTCCTGAATGATACCACAATTTACTACTGCTTGTCCTCTCCTGTCTGTTTAATGTTTGGAAGATCATTAGACTTTTTAAGAATGTCTTCCCATTAACTGCATTTTTGCATATTTAGTCCACAAGTAGGACTTCAGGCATTGCCAACATGTATTGTTAAAAACCAAATCACACTAGCTGAAACAATTAGCTGGCCTATGGGCAGCAATTCTGTAATAACTCAGTTATAGGAAGCTGAGTTGCATCCCTGAAACTAAGCAGCACTGCTGACAAGGGCTGGGTCCTGGTTTAGTGTCTGCCAAGATAAGGCATGACGTCCAATAGGAGGACAGCAATGAGGGGGAGGAATAAAAATACTTGCTCTAGTTTTTCCAACTGGTCTGGTAAGATTTTGACCTCAAAAGACCAGTGGAGCACATGATTCCTACTAGGGCTAGCTGTCATTCTAGTCTTCTCAGGAAAGATGCAACAGGAAGAACAGATGGTCAGATTACTACCTGGACATTTTCCTTTCTAGGTATGCGTTTCCCAACACAGGTTTGTTCACACAAAAGATGCGACACCTGCAATACAAGTTCAGCAATTACACTTACCTTTGCTGTGTACGGGTATGATTCCTCTGAATCAATTCCTCCATTGTCCTGCACATACTGGAAAGCCTGGTCCATGAGGCCACCATTGCAGCCTTGATTCCCTTCAGGGCGAGAGCAGTCCACCAGATTCTGTTCACTCAGCGAAACAAGTTTGCCAGTTTTTCTGAAGTGCTGTCCTTCAAGAGCTCCTGTTGTGCTGAAAGCCCAGCAAGAGCCACACTGACCCTGAAGCAAAAAAAAAAAAAAAAAGAAATCACAAGTTACAAATCCAGACAGATTAGGCAACTACAGTTCCCTTAACCACTGATCTAAACATGAAATACAAAAGCCACAAGCCCAACTTCAGACCCACACTCCTAGCATGTACAAGTGAAGATACTACTGCATTTCTGGTTCTTACAACACTTAGTACAGACCTCCAAAAAATTATAAAGGGGTACAGCAATTTTGTCGAAGTGGCACTTAATTTAGTAAGCTTCCACTATGCTTCATGCAACATATCTACAGTGGAAACTTCCCTCTATGGAAGCAGAGGTAGCAGTCAAGAAACTGGACCTGCAGCAGGTTAAAAACCCACCATCAGGGAATACCTGGTCTTTAACTGGAGTTACATATCCCTTCTCCCTCCAGTCTACTGATCGTGGTGCTTCCAGGAAGCTGGGCTCAAGAAACTGGGATCCTCTGTACTTCCTTTGCGATTTCTTGTGTGTGTAGCCATTCATCAGCTGTCTGAACTCCTCAGTTGTCTGAGGAAAACGCAAGACATGCAGTCACCATCTATTACACACCGCTGTTAAAAACTGTATGTTTCATGCCTCCATACATACCATGTCACCAAACTGATTCATTCCCAACTTGTAGCTGTGTTTTCCTAGTGTGTGATCCAGATTATGGACTTCAATCATCTTCAGATTCTTCTCCCACACCACTCTCCTCCAGTTTTCCTCTCTCTGAGGGGCCAGAAAACGACATACTTCAAGGAGGCAGTTCAAACAGAGTTCACTTTGCTCGCTAACTTGCCTGGCTAGGGCGTGTAAGCTCGGGAAAACCGGACTCCTGGAATGGGAAGCCTGAACGCTGTTGGAAGAGAGCCTTTTCACCACTCTCTACCAAAACCCACGCAGCGCAGGGCCGCGCGGACGCACAAACACAGAAGGCGCGCCTAGGCCGAGGGGATGGCGCCTGCCGAGCGCGGAGCAAACC